AAGTCATTAGCCAACATACATTCTAAACAGCACTTAGCATGCTAGCCTAAATCTAGCTGGTCATATTTAGTAGACAGACTTGGTCTAATCCTAGTTAGGGTTCTGGTTCACAACTTGTCCCAAATACTATACCAGATTTCGAATTTTAAAACTGAGCCACTCAACCATGTAATAGCCTTGAACAAATGTTCAAATGGTGATTTCTTGACAAAATTAACAACTTGTCTAACTAGATATCATTTTAACAAAACTGAACTACCTGTGATCCTACCTTTGTGTAGAAGAGAAGTAGAAAGAAGGCTCTTGGTCAGGCACAAGATATATGATGCATTATGTAGATGTTTATGATTAGATTTATTGCTAATACAGTATCTAAATACTGCCAAAGCAGTATACAATATAAGCATGTAATAATATGTAAACATACTATAACCAGCTTACATTATAACCAGCTAGAAATGTACAGGTTTACAGTCTTTGGCCTTACAGAATGCACAATGGCAAAGCATCAAAGCACCTTTGTGAAGCTGCTTTAGGATTTCATCTCTGACTGGATTTTGGTGCTTTTACTCACCTGCCCAAAAGTGAGAGTTCCTCAGCTTTGGGCTGGATGTACCCTGCAGGCATCCGTTCCAGGACAGGGGGATCTACCTGGAAGATGCTTGCAGCCTGGGAGACCAGTTTGCCCAGTTGGCCCAGTCTCCAGCAGTATTTTAAACAGTTTTACAGGCTCATGTGTGCCAAATTCAGTTGAAATCATTACACCTCCCTGTCTCTGAAATTTGTCATCATGGGAACATCCACACAGTTCCTCCTGGAATGCTCACTGGGTGTTCTTATCTTAGCACCATTCTCACTTGGTATTCTTATCTTAGGACAAATCATGTTTCCCATCGGAGACGATTGTAAAGGAGAGGGGTGTGGGAAGGGGAGGGGAAGGGCACACTTGAGGACCTGACTAACTTATCTCAGTCACACTTTGGCAGAGAACCTTGTAATTGGGATGGAGCTGGGAGCAAGGGGTGCTGGGGCAGGTCAGGCCTAAGCAAAGCTCCTCCTGCTTTGCCTAAGGGAGCCAAGTATCCAGGAGGAGAAACAGTACAGTTAATTAACACTGGAGCGACTGCACCCAGGTGTGTCTGCCAAGGCATGAACCACTGTGAAACTGTGCTGAGTAACAGAGCCACACACCTCACCAAACAAGGCAGAAGAGCAGCATTTGGGTGAGGATGAAATGACCCTCTTCACCCACACACAGAGAAAGCAATGCACTTTTCAGAATTATTGTAAATATCATATTACTCTAGTAAAAACACCTTCATCAAAATAACCATTTTATGCTTGTGGGTGACAAGAAACATGTATGAGAAAAATGGTTAAATTTTGAAATGTTTTTTCCTGAGTGAGTGCCATTTATTTTAGAAGATAGATGACAAATTAGTGTCATGGTGTGTAGAGACTTCCTAGTTCTTTATGGCCTTGGAAGACTTGTGGCTTGTTAGCAGTGAAAATTGAAAGTGTCTACAACACAGTGCTATTCAGAAATTACTCTCCCTATTTTCCTGACATGCTTGTTAACATGTATATGGTGGAGATGTCCTGCCTGTGTTCTTTTAAAACTCCTTCTTCTTCCTGAAAATGTCAGATGAACTGAGGACTGCAGTGTAACTATGGGGGAATGGGTTTTTTCATACCTTCACTCTGCATTGGTATAGTGTCAGTCTGTACACAGAACGGTCACTCAAAGTTATGATTTAGTAATTGAGAACAGAAAGGATAATTATTTCCTTCTTCCTTGTTGTTTTTTTAGTCTTATGTATTGATCATATGGATTGTTTTGGTTTTTTAGTGCGAATTTTCTTTTGGTAGGGATGAAAATAAGATATGAGGCTCTTGATCTTGAAACAGAAAGGTTTGAGTTCTTGGTTAATATTTATTAAGTTTCATAATCGATTTTTATTGTTGAGAAATGTTCTAGAATGCTGTAATTCATCGTGAGGACAATAAAGTATGTCAAGTTAGAGCAATGATTGGGTAAAAGTAGCAAAATCAGGTATATGAGATCACATCCTGTTCATTTTAGCTGTTGCTGAGCAGAGCTGAAACAGACTGAGAGCCTTCTCTCTGAGTAGCATGGGGTGCACAAGAGCCTAGGAGGGGACACAGCTGGAACATCCAGCTAACCAAACAGATACCCCACACCATATAATGCTGCGCTCAGCAATAAAACTTTGGGGGTGAAAAAGGAACGCATAGGGAATGGTCAGAGTGATGGTGTCTGCCTTCCCAAGTAGTCATGACATGTAGTGGAATCCAGCCTTCCTGAAAGTGGCTGAACACCTGCCTGCTGATGTGAAGTAGCCATGAAGTGATTTTGCTTTGTTTATGTGAGTGGCTTTGCTTTACCTATTAAACTGTCTTTATCTCAACTCACAAGTTTTCTCATTTTTACCCTTCCTGTTCTTCCCTGCTTCCCTCAGCAGCGAACAGCGTGAATGGTTGTGTGGGGCTGAGCTGCCTGCTCAGATTAATCCACAAGTGTGGTTTTTGGCACCCAGTGTGGGACCAGAGAGGTTGAAGATAATGACAGATTTGATAGAATGCACTCCACTAGATTTACAGCTCTTTGAGCTGTTTATTGGCAGGCTGCTGCTCTCACAGGAGGACCTGCTTGCTTTGCTCTATATTAGAATGGAGTGACTGCTTGTGGTTGCCATATGCTGTAGTGCTTATCATCCCACTTTCCTGTGCCTAGGAACATTTTGATAACACCACTGGCCACGTGCCTGGGCTGACAGATGGCCTGGTCATTGCTGCTGTTTCTGTACTGCTGTAGGCATGTGGTAACTATAGTCTGAACTCAAGTTGAAAGGGCTGTGAGCTCTGATTAACACCGGGCTGGACCAGGTATACCCCAAAGCGTCTGAGGCTGTGGATATTTCCATCGTGGAGCAGTTACACCTCTGAGTAACAGAATTGTAGAATCATTTAGATTGGAGAAGACTGCTAAGTCCACCATTAAATCATGTCCCTAAGCACCATATGTACATGTCTTAAATACCTGCAAAGATGGTGACTCAGCCATGCCCCAATGCTTGACAATACTTCCGAGGAAGAAATTTTTCCTAAGAGCAACCTGAGACCTTTTCCTCTTGTACTGTTACTTGTAACCTGGAAGAAGAGGCTCACTTGGCTACAACCTCTTTTCAGTAGTTGCAGAGAGTGATAAATTTCCTTCCTAATCCTCCTTTTCTCCAAGTTAAACACCTCCAGCTCCCTCAGTCATTTCTCATAAGACTTGTGTTCAGACCCTTCCCGGTCCACTGCCCTTCTCTGGTCACGCTCCAGCACCTCGATGTCTTTCTTATAGTGAGGGACCCAAAACTGGACATGGCACTGGAGGTGTGGCCTCACCAGTGCTGAGTACAGGAGGAGGATCATCACCCTGCTCCTGCTGGCCATTCTATTCCTGATCCTGGCCAGGATGCCACTGGTCTTCTTGGCTACCTGGGCACATGCTGGCTCACGTCCAGCTGCCGTTGAGCAACACCCTAAGGTCTTCTGCAGAGCAGCTTTCCAACCAAGGGAAAGTCTACAACCTGGGAGTAAGTCCATACCAGTATGGTAAGAGGAGGAGTTAATTAAGTTAATTAAGCTAATTAAGTTAATTAAGTTAATTAAGGAACGTTATAGCCCCCTTCAAGGGACTCAGGTGCGGAAATTGAAGTGGATACAATGTCTAAGTGTTGTAACACGCTGCTTGAGTTGCCTGTTGTATGGGAAGCACTATAGCAGAAGCCATCTGAACAGAGGGCAAGCCTCACAAGAATTCCTACAGGTCTGACCCAACCTGATTAGGTTTTGGCAACCAGTAGCTCCACACAACACACCTCCTGTCCTGAGCAATCACCACAAGAGATGGAACCCTGGTCATGGAAGAAGGGAAGTCAATGGGCATTTTACAGGGGTAAAACATCTTGTAGAGTAAGGGAGTGATATCTGTCTGTAAATTAAAGGATGATGATGATGATGTGTGTGTGTGTGATTAATGGGGATGTACTGGATAATGTGTGACTTAAGCATAACACAAATTATATTGAATAAGGAGATTACTAATTTGGGTTGCAGTGGAGTTCACACCAGCTTGTATAGATTCATGCTTTGGATTTTTTAAAATATAATTATAAACATTATAAATTTAATTATTATAAGTAACAACTCGTGTGATGTTCAAATTTAGAATCAGATCAACATCTGAATAGTTACAAATTCATCATAGTCCTCGTAGTCTATGAAGGTACATTTTCAGAACAGCCAATCCTTCCAGTAGACTTATAGATTTTAAATTTTGTCTTCCAGTAGACAAATAGATTTTAAACTATGCTTAAACAAAACCTTTTGATTTTTTATTGAATTTGATTTGGCTGTATACAATTTGTTTTTAATTAGCACAGTTATAAGTGCTGGAAAAAAAACAGTGTAAGAAGGGGAAAGAAGTTGAGACAAAAATGGATTGAAACTAACAGGGAGAAATCATCTGATGCTAAATAAGGGAAAGGATCTGAATACATAGGCGTGACACAGAACACGAAATAAGAAACCATCTCCTTTCATACTGGTTTCGTATACTTAACACTTTCTTTGAGGATAAATTCTCTGGATGACAAGCTTTTAACCAAATAGTTGAGTACTTCAGTATTTTAGCATTTTATTGCTTAGCAACATTTTAATTCTAATCTTCACTTAAGTGTTTGCCTAATGCCGTTCTTATCTTGAACAGTCAGGTTCCCTGAACACAGATGAATGTTTTTCAGCCTTTGACCTTTCAGAGTAGTTTTCCTGCTTGCTTTGGCTTCCTGCAAACCTAACACGGATGCAAGAGCTGAGATCTCATAAAAAGACCCATGAGCAAAGTACTCTTGAAGAAGGACTAGCATCTCACTCACAGCTAACACAGCTGGGGGGGCTGAGGAAGGCAGAACACGCAGACGAGTGGGAGATCTCGACAAAATGGAGCTTGAGGATGATATAAGCAAGGATCACAGAGGATATTCAGAGGAGATATCTTTAAAATCAGAAGAGTATGTGAAGAAAAAAACCGTCTTGAAATACAAAGTCATCTGTGCTGTAAGTAGGTGCTGCTCTTCAGGGCTGCTACTTTAACAATTCTCAAATCTGCAGGATTTTTTGAAGTTTCATTGTATGAGTATAAACATTCGGGGTAGCTTAGTAATTAGTAGTTAAAATTTTACTGCATGAGTGTGCCACTGAAACAGCACTAGCTTCTCTGGCACATTTCTAAAGTTCTTCTGGTACCTGGGAAGCAATTTTTTTTACTGGCAGTTTTTGTTGTGCTTCATTAACCTGACAGTTCTTTTGCATAGTGAAGACATTGATTTGATACTTTGTTTTAGATATTGTCTCAAAACAGATCTGTTTGTGGCCAAAGAAACCATGCTTTCTTTTTACTTTTGTATCTTAATATTTGTCATTAACAAAACAGAACCTGTAGGCAAGTCGTTGGCAAAAAACACTCAGGAAGCAAGGCATGGGAAAAGCCTAATGAAACATTTTGTACAAAAACTACGTTTTGTACAGTACAGAAACGTTTGGTCAGTCCCACATCTCAAATATGGTGTCAACTCTTCACCTCTTTCCTGAGGCTTTAAGAGTTATGCAGCTGCCATGTAAACAATAAAGCATAGGTTTTTGTTAAGTTTTTATAATATTTTCATGTATCTTCTGTTTGTGGCCACAATAGAAACAAGCATTAAATATGTATATATGTTTGCACAAGCTCTTGCATTTATAAATTGGAAAGTAGAGAAAACTACAAGTACTGATTTTAGAAAAACTTGTAACTTAATTTTGAAAACAGCCCTATAAAAAAGAGTCAAGCTTTTCAGCTCTATGTCATCAGAACAATTTTACATAGTACAGTTTCCTATTTAATGCTGCATTGTGCAAGGATTGCATAAAATATGCGGAAAATACTGAAAAATTGTGAAAAAAAGAAGATGAAATTACAGACATATTTTTCCTAAAGTCATCAGTTAAAAATGAGTCATGAGAAAGAATGTGGGAAAACTGCATAACTATAAAGGAAAGTAAATTATACCTTCAAGAGGTACTTGGAAGAGTAAAGTGAGAAATTTAAGTATCCTAAAATGTATTCATTCTTTCAGATGCACTAGTTTTCAAATGCCTGCCTATACAAAACTCACAATCTACATTTTGGAGGTGTAAACTGTTAATATTCCACACAATTTATGTTTTTGCTAAATCTAATGCATGAAATACTTTCTTGGCAACTTCTTCCTGAAATTTTAGGCAGAGAATAGGAGTCACACTGTTAGTAAGTCCTCCAGCAAACAGAGCATATGAGCTAGGAACAACTTTTCTAAGAATAAGTAGTTGTAATTCTGAATTGTCTAACAATTCATAAAAGTTAGCTCTGGAAAGCCTGAGGATTTGAATAGGTGCTACCAACATTATTTCACCTTAAGAATGAATGTCCTAAAATCAAGGGTGGTTGTGTAGATGTTATAATAAATGCATCACCTTATCTGAATACCTGATAGGAATTTTTGGGTTTTACTTCAGCTGTCTTATTACTTGAAGAAGGGGGAATGTTTGTTGCTGTAGCAGCTGTATTTTAATTTGTACTTCAATTTAGTAGGATCTATTTATTTCAACTACAAGTGTGAGTTTTAGTCAAAATTAAGGGTAAAACCATAGTGTCTTTGAGGTGAAAAGTACATGCCCTGGTGATTAGGCTTATCTGTGCTCAGTGTTATCCTCCCTGCCCAGAAAGAGTGACTGCTGGTCTAGCCCAAAAGAACACCCTAACACCCTTATTCTCAGAGCCTGCTGACTGGACATAGGATTAAACTGCTGCCTTCACACCTGCAATCTCTCTTCAAGGGACTTCAGCATTTCTGGGTAATCTTTCCACACATCCTTACTCCATCTGTCTCCCTCATCCAGTTCTCTCACCAATTCCATTTCCACTCCTTTTGAGGTACATTTGTACAAAAACATGTAAGTAGCAGGAAGAAAGTAAAGTTGAGAAAGAGAAAGTATGAAGGAAGTAACTATGGCATTGCTAGCATTTGGTGTTACCAGAGAAATAAATCAGTTGTACACCCACGTCTGAGAACTGAGCAGCCCTTCCTGCTGCCACACTTCTGCCCAGCACCTGCAAGGCAGGACAGGCAGCAGCAGCAAAGATCAGGGATGCACGTGCAGTTGTTCTCTATTCCTTAAAATTGCTGTAGTCTCAGATAAGAGGCTCCATTATAATTATACTGATCTTGAGAGTAATCCTCTCTCATTTCTACTTTATTTTTAACCTTAGTACTTCCAGGAATCAGCTGATTGGTTCCTGGAAATGGCAGAAGACAAAAGAAAACTGAGGCAAAAATGGGACATAAACTGGGCTGTTTCATGGTGATTTTTTCTGTGATATGCATTTTCTTTCCCATGATTGTCTTAGTGAAGAGGAAAGTGCATATATCACAAAATACTCTGAGAAGGTTGTCACTTTTCACTGCACCTTTCAACCAGCATGAGTTGCCATTTGTCATTGAGCTTTGTGTCTATTGAGCTGATAGAAGCTTCCTCAGCTCTCCCCCAGTCTCCCAAAAGATATGCTGCTTTCTGTTAGGGAGTTTCCTTGGGCTGTTAGTCTCCTTCCAATTTCCTCTAACCTTACTAACAGGGTGACATTGTAAGAAACTGGCACGTGGGTGAAAATTTTACACTTGCAGCCTCAATCCAGATAAATTTTTCAAGAAATCCTTGTGATCATATCAGGTAAATACAGAAGATAAATAAAAGTGATTGCCTTTATTTGTACAGGCAAAGCCTCTGCAAAACAGATAAATACACTGATTACTTCCTACTTTATTTTCTCCAGCAAAGATTTTCCCAGTTGCAATATCACAACTGGCCATAGGTTAAAAGTGCAGCTTCTAAGGTTATAACTATTGTGCCTCTCCTACCTTCAGACTCAAATTTTTGATGAAGAACTTCAGAGAAATTATTAGTTCTTAAATCATGCATTCATAGAAATATTAATAAGAGTTACTTTCTAATAAACACAACAATTTATCACAGTTGTGAATGTTGGTTTCCCTGTGTCTGTGTGACAGGTTCTGCTGTGTGCTCTGGTGGTTATATCCTTGGGACTAGGTTTAGGACTAGGACTCAACCGTGGAAACCAGGAGCAAGGTATGTTTATGATATTTGCAGCATAATTGCCAATCTGTATCTGGCAAAGGCTTTCAGCAAAGGCTCTTTTGTAGTGTAATGTAAATTATCTGTGAAAAGTCACCACCTGTGAAAATTAAGTTCTTGCGAAGTTCATTTTTTGAGTTCAATTATATAAAAACTGAACACTCACAATCAATACTTGAAAAACCTATCCTAAACCACCAAGTGCCTTGCTGATCTTTCCAAATGTGTGAAACCTAGTTCATGGCACATTGAAAGTTTTATTACATTAACACTTGCAGAAAATTTGAGATATGTTATCCTATTATATATAATATAATATAATATAATAGGATATTATTGCAATTAATGCAATTCAACAATATTTTGTGAAAGAAATATCATTGGATCATCTTCAGTATATTTGGCATAATTCAGGAGGTTGATGCTAAAACTGATTATGAATATTCTTTGAAAACTTGAGTTTCTGTAAAGCTACAGTAAAAAGGGGGTAGTGGCTTGATTCAGGAATGGTATTTTTTAGTTAGAAAAAAAAAAAGTGATGTTTTGATGTCAGGGGATCAGTCTAGGTGAGAACAAACAAACGCAAGACACTGTGAATTAAATAAAACACTTCCTTTGGAATCAAAGAAATAGCAATCCCTTCTGAAGGAGTTTAAGGAAGCACATTCTCATTGCACATTTCTCATTGCTAATCAACACATATTGTAAGTGTTTTCCTAGTGGCTCATCAAGTCTAAGACTCTTCTGAAGACTTTCAATAGCATGGGCCCTAGCAAATAAGATGAAGTGGAACCGTAAATGGTTTTTGATAATTTGAAAATTATTTTAGCTCTGCATTGGCTCTACAAAGTGGCGTGCAGAGAATGTGGATACAAGGCTTGTCCATGTGGAGGTTGGTGTGGAACTGCGAGTGATCTTTAGAGATTTGGGGTTTTCTTCAGGTGTCCTCAGGAGACCCAGAGCTGTCCCTTCACCCTGCTCAAAGGTGTCAGAGCTGTGCTGAGGATACTTGTCTCAACTTTCAACGCCAGGCCCATCATTTGGACCCTTTTCTTTGTTTTACTTAGAACAGTACAACCTACAGATTTTTAAGGGACATGGTAACAATAAAGTAGCAGAGATATTGCCAGAGTCCTGAGTGCTCCAGTAAGCTTTATGAATTTTGTCCAGACGGCTTTTGAATGTTTCCAGGAAAGGAGATTCCCCTGGGCTGTCCCCATCCTGCCCAGGGTCCACTGCCCCTGTGTCCACTGCCCTGGCACTGGCCCAGCAAGGATGGCCTCCAGCTTGCCACAGTCCTGCCATGCCCAGCCATGAGTCCTGCTGAGCCAGTCCCACCCATGGGCCAACAGCCTGGCCTTGACCTGTCCCTGTCATCATGGAAGTGCCCAGTGTGGTGTGGGGCTGCTCCCGTGCTGCCTCAGCTCCCCTGCTCCAGGCTGCAGTGGTGCCATGGCTCCTGGTTGCTGGTCCCTGCCCAGCTGCCCCTGGGGAGCCCCCATGGCTCTGGTACCCTGCCCTGAGGGAGCTTCTGTCCCATGCAGGTCTATTACAGAACATCCAAAGTGGGAATCACTCTTCCTCTTTTATTTCAGACCAAGAAATGAGCAGGGGAGATGCCGGTCTCCTCTTCCTCATGCTGGCAGAGTGGGACACCCTGGCATTGCCTCCTGTGCCAGTGGTTCTGCAGAGACCTGTTGCAGAAACAGCCCTGCCCCAGGCTGTGGGTCAGCATGGTCCCAACAGCTGTCAGACCTTCAGCTCCTAGAGGGATTCCTACAGCCTTGCTTCCACCATGTTGGCCCTTGTGATGGTGACCATATTGGCAAACAGCTAGGGAATAAGATTTGGGAAATTATTCAGCACATCTCTCCCTGCAGCCCATATCCATGGTCTGTTTAACTGACCTACCTGGGACAGGGTTATCTGAGCACTCAGTCTCGCTGCCTTCTCCCTACAGTCAGCTGCAGACACAAGTGCAATGAGCCACACAGGAAAGATGTGCCTGGCTGCCAGTGTGACAGCAGCTGCAAGGAGCGTCAGGACTGCTGCTGGGACTATGAGGACACCTGTGTGGAGCCAAGTAAGTTCCCCTCTAGGCAGTGCTCACTGGCGTCCATTGGATTTTGAATTTGTTTCTTCACGTGATTGTAATAGAAAATGGATAATTGTCATGTGTATGCAGACACACAGAAGTCATGTCACATTTCCTCAGGAGGGAAATGTTACAAAAATCACAAAATCAAAGAATAGTTAAGGTTGGAATGGACCACTGGAGGTAATCTAGTCTAACCTCCCTGCTCAAGCAAGATCCCAGAGCACACTCTTGAGGCTTGTGTCCAGGTGGCTTTTGAATGTCTCCAGAAAAGAAGATTCTATCACCACTCTGGGCAACCTTTCCAATGCTCTGTCACCCTGAGAGTAAAATTATTCTTCCTGTTCGGGTGGATGCGACAGAGCCAAGCTGCCTCTGGTCAGGTGGCTAGAGAGCTGTAACTTGGTGACCTGGCAGGACACAAAATCTTCCTGCATCTTTCTCAAATCAGCCCCCTGTATGACCAAAGCACTTGCCATGCAGATTTCATGGCACATACGAAGCTGAAGATGAGGATGAGCAGGAATAATGAGTTATCTTTAAGCAGGGCCCTTGAAGCAGCCCTGTTGTGCCCATACCTCTTGCACATTTGAAGATAAGGGGGTGTTTCCCAGTCAGTTGTACTCTCCAGCCTCATGCAGATGTCGGTGGGTGCCTGGGACTGGAGGAGTCCACTTGTCTTCCAGGGGAATAGCCTGGTTCTGCATTGAGGCCAGGCTCCTCTCCAGTTACTGATTTTGAATTTCTTTCTTCACGTGATTGTAATAGGGTAATTGTCATGTTTATGCAGACACACAGAAGTCATGTCACATTTCCTCAGGAGGGAAATGTTACAAAAATCACAAAATCAAAGAATAGTTAAGGTTGGAATGGACCACTGGAGGTAATCTAGTCTAACCTCCCTGCTCAAGCAAGATCCCAGAGCACACTCTTGAGGTTTGTGTCCAGGTGGCTTTTGAATGTCTCCAGAAAAGAAGATTCCATCACTGCTCTGGGCAACCTTTCCAGTGCTCTGTCACCCTGAGAGTAAAATTATTCTTCCTGTTCGGGTGGATGCGACAGAGCCAAGCTGCCTCTGTAATCAGGTGGTTAGAGAGCTGCAACTTGGTGACCTGGCAGGACACAAAATCTTCCTGCATCTTTCTCAAATCAGCCCCCTGTATGACCAAAGCACTTGCCATGCAGATTTCATGGCACATACGAAGCTGAAGATGAGGATGAGCAGGAATAATGAGTTATCTTTAAGCAGGGCCCTTGAAGCAGCCCTGTTGTGCCCATACCTCTTGCACATTTGAAGATAAGGGGGTGTTTCCCAGTCAGTTGTACTCTCCAGCCTCATGCAGATGTCGGTGGGTGCCTGGGACTGGAGGAGTCCACTTGTCTTCCAGAGGAATAGCCTGGTTCTGCATTGAGGCCAGGCTCTTCTCCAGTTACTGTCTCTGCTTTCCCAGCAGCTGCTCAGGTATTTCTTCATCCTTATTGATTTTACTACCCACTTCAGCCCTTACTTCTCTTTTTTTTTGTTGCTCTCTGCTGGAACTCATGTGCAAGAGCATGAAAAAGATCAGTTTGCTTCTCTTTCTCCTCTGTAAAAGAAATAGGGAGTGGTGGGTTTTTTTGGTTTTCTGTTTTGTTTTGTTATTTTTTTTATCCTAGATATTTTTGGAAGGATGGAAGGCTTTGAGGGAGATGACTTTGGGGATTCCTTTGTAAAATAAATTCTTTTATGACTCTGTGTTACTGTTCAATGGCCAAAGAAATAGGCTTTTTGCGTTAAATGAAATCTTGAGTTTTCTTTCCAGAGCAAATTTCTAAAGCAACTCAAACAGCACATACAGATAACAATTTGTTTTTCTTTACCTGTTTGAAGGATTTCCATGCAAAGAAGTTCACATGAGATGAACTGAATCATAGCTTTTTTCCTTCAAATTTTCAGCGCGGTCTTGGAAGTGCACTAATTTCCGTTGTGGTGAGGCAAGAATACCTGGAAGTTACTGTTCTTGTTCCGATGACTGCTTGCAGAAAAAAGACTGCTGTGTAAATTACTACAGCATTTGCAAAGGTAAATCAAAATAAAAAAGTTTTACATATAAATTTTTGTATGAAATAGATGGGCAAATATTGAAAATATAAAGGCAGATGAATTTGTTTCTCAAGACCAGAGTCTGACTGGCATTTTGAAAAATGAATATGTTTTGAATTGGTATTTTTGACTGTGAAAAACACCTTTCCTGAAGAACACTGTGAATTGTGTCACCCATGAGAAGGACAGAATGATTTGAATGTTGCAGAAGTATACCACGTGGGGGCTTTGGATTGTTTCCTTTTTACTTTTCCCCCCCTTTTTTTCCCTCCAGAAATAGATGGAGACAATCTGAAGTATATATTGTAGTAGTCATCTCTAGTTTAAAATTTCCCATCCCTTCTATTACAAATCTAGTTTCAGATTGGATTTTGTATGTTTTACTTAATTTTTGATATCTTTGCTCATGACTAATTGTTTCATGCTGACTCCAGCTAAACACGTAGGAATAGTGCAGGTATAATTGAGTTACGGGAATGACACTTGAGGAGTATGATGGTGTCATGGTATCTGTTATCAGAATTCCTTTGCATTGTGGGAGGGGATAAGTCTGAGACAACTCCTGCAGAATTGTAGTTGTTAATGAAATGCAGATTAAAGCTAAAAGGAGTTAAACTGCAACATACAGAAAGAAAAGAAGTACTAAAGGGTGCTCCTGGGCTTGTCTCTAAGTGTGTCAGCGGTACCCAGAAAAGGAAAAAGGAAAGTAGCCCATTGTGGACAGGATACAGTTTGAATATTTTTAATTTAAAACTCAATAAAAGGCTAAGCTTTCATAGTGTTTTTTCTTCATTTTGTTTCTTTCCTTTTCTGTGTAGCATATGTTCTTTGGTTTTGACTTACAGTTGTGAGCATTAGTCCTTTCAGGGTTTGAAACAATTAGGTTGTACCAAATTGTTTCTGTAGTAAAGGTGTCTTTAGCCCTAGATTTCTGTTGAAGCAGAAAATGTTACAGGAAGAGCTTCAAAAAGATCATCCAGGTAGCTGCTTTTTTTGGTAGTGGTGGAGGTTCAGTGCTAACTCAGTATTTTTTTTCCTTTTAGGTGAAACATCTTGGGTAGAAGAACCATGTGTGTCAGTTGAAACTCCTCAGTGTCCAGACGGGTATGATCAAGGAATTTGTCTTCTTAGCAAATAAAAGCTTTGTAATGGTCAGAAATACTCCAGTGTTCTGAAACAGGTGTTCATATTTATGAAGAGTAAAGTCCCTGCCCTGAGGAATACTCTGTAGAAATGGTTTGTGACTAGGAATGTTTGTTCTTTTTAAAACCTTTGTCATTCATTGATCATTTACAGTTTAGAGCAGAGTACAGAAGTTCAGATTCAGATTGAAATTCAGCAAAGGCCTGGAAAATTGTTAGAGTTATCTCAAGGTTCATTTATCACAAATTGTTCATAGTCCATTTTATGTTACCATATTGTATCTTTGACAGCTCAGATAAGTCACCTTATGCAGTCTGTAACAACAGATAGAATCTGTGATTGCGATTCTTTACGCAAAAGGATCATTCAGGGGATTTTTGCTCCAATTACTTGCAGGAAGAAAGATGTACTTGAAAGATAGCTATGACATAGATTTATATCTACAAATGCTGAAAACATTTTTGCTATTTATGCAGGATTTCAGAATAGTAGGTAGAGGCTAGACAGAAGCAACATTTAAAAGCTGTCCTTGAAGAAAGATGAATTAATTTCTGGTTCAGTTATGGTATTTGTGACATTATCCATTATTTTATTTTATTTTACTACCAACTTAGTTTAATTATAACGTTAAAACCATTAGCATTGTGACTTCTTTGTGGTTCCTGCATTCACCTCCCAAAATAGGTACCAAAGTACACTTTTTAGGTTAACAAATAACTTGCTGAGGTAACACAGTTTCATAGGCTAAAACCTGGAAAGCATTGGAGGGGGGCTTTCAGTGCTATACACCACATTGCAATATAGATATCCATTTAATTTCAGATTCAAATCAGTAAGCTGTTTTATGCAGGCTGTTTTTATACAAACTTGATGCTAGTGTGCTTCTGTGTTTTGGAAAGACCACTGTTAATAAGAACAAACTGGGACAGTGATTACTGCCTGATGTCAATATGTAACTTTTTAAAATATTATCACTGAAATGATTACTTGTGTTTTATTCCTCTTCTGGTTTCTTACCAGAAGGATTATTATTATTATTATTTGCTGTCAATATTGAACTATTTCTTTATCTCACACTGTGTTCATTCTGGGATGCATATGAATACTCTAGATCCTGCTTATAAAAGCTGAATTTATATTGTTAGAAATCTTAATAAGTCACCAACTCTTCAAGTTCCTTTATGACGATACATTTATATTTTCTTATAGATTTACTCTCCCACCACTTATCCTTTTTTCAATGGATGGGTTTAGAGCAGAATATTTGGAAACTTGGAGTTCTTTGCTGCCAAATATTGAAAAACTCAGTAAGTTACCAAGGGTCCTTTGACTGTTTTCTTTGAAAGTCTGCATGCAGCCTCTCTGGTCCCTTTTGCTACTGTCATGCATATGTGTTGCTCAGCAGTAAAAAAATCACAAATCAGGCCTCTCATCAGTTGTATCTATTCATTATTATATATATTCTGCATTGCTTCTTGTATTTGCACAGCAAACATGACTTTTTTTTTTTTTTTAACAAGGCCTCTAATATTGGTCAGCAGCTTTTTCTTAAATACACATTAAAATACTTTTTAAAACTGAGAAAAAGTTCCAGATAAGCATTTCCTGCACCCTCAGTACTGCATTAAAAAATAACTAAATAGCTGATAAGGAGTGGAACATTGAAGTATAATACATTGAGTTATGGGGAAATTTTTTTTCAAGTCAGATATTTTAAGATGTTAGTATGTTGACATTATTTCAGTAAGGCTCAAGTAACCATTTTCCAGCATTTCTGAATATTGTGAGGAAAAGAAAGTTGAAGATCTTTAGCTTGTGCTTTAAAGCGCTCTAAAAAGTGGGACTGTTAGTGCATATTTGGTTAAAATTCCTGCATATTTTAGAGCTCAGATCTCCAGACACTTTGTACCTGGACAAAATGTCTCCATGTTTAGTAATTTCTTCTCAGCAGCAATAGTCTAAGTTGACAGTATTTGTATCAGTGCTGAGTATGTTACATTATGTTTCTGTTGTGCTCATTGAAAACATCACATGTGTGTTATTAAGTACTACATTTACCAAATAGTTAACAATCTTGTTTGAGGATAATGAGAGTATCCAGAAACCTGGGCTTGAACTAATGTGCAAACCTAACTTCTTGGGCTGATTGTTTATTCTGTGACATCATTCTGACTGGAAGGAACTTGAATCAGTGAAGGGGTCATGAATGTTGAAGTCAGTAGTCAGTTCCAGTCTTTTGAAACAAGGTGAAAAGGGAATGCCAAACAGGTTAAAAGGCAAATACCACTCTATGTCTATGTTTCCAAGAAATCCTTTGAAACAAAACCCGATCTAATTCAGCTTTGCTCATATTTGTGGTCAACTTGAGCAATTATTTATGCACATTCATGCTTATATTTCTCAGAAATCTACAGGAAAGGGAAATTTCTTTCTTTGCAAAAGAAAAAAAATATAATGTTGATTTGTAACATAAAATCTTTCCTCTCTATTAACTCCTTTAACATAGAACTTTCAGTAAAGGTAACCAAGCTTATAGAATATGTACACTATGAATATATATCCTTTATTGTGCAAGAGAAATCCATAGAAAATTTTGCTGATTTTCTTGTATCTTTCAATTATTCAGCCATTCTTCAAACACTCTTTAAGCCTTTTTTTTCTTTTTTTCCTTCTGTATCACATTGGAACAGTTTTATTGGAAAATTTCACACTTTCATTGTTTTAGTTGCTTAGTTTAAATCAGCTTCTTTCTTTGGCTGAAATGCTCTACATCAATAAATAAAGTGTGTTTGAGCATGAATGAAATAATCATCTGGTTACAGCTTAATATAGAACTTTGTCCATGTGAGTTAGATGTAAAACCATCATTAAGGCATCTTCCAGTCTTCATGCATTTGTTTTGTGGGTAAATAAGTTGACTCTTACAGTGAATTTAGATATTACAGATGTTTGTGTGCTGAGAGCCTTTGACTGATGAATGCAATGTTTGGAGATACAGGTAGGACATCTAGGGCAGGATTCACTCCAGGGCAGAACACTTGCATTTAGACATATTCTTGCAGATGTCTGCATGTGAGATGATTATATGCTAATTGAAATCAGCGCCTTTATGTTTAATATAGTCTGCACAGCACAGTGCAAGAGCCTTGAGGACAAGTCAGCTCAATCAATGGACAGAGGGGGCCACGGGACAAATTGTTGCCCTAATCTGTGTCTTTGGTATACTTCAGAGTGCCATGGCCTTCAGCAGCTGTCTCAGAACACAGATCTCCAAATGATTTGCATCAAAATTGTCAGCTTTCATGCAGATGTCTTGGACATTAGAGGGTTTCCCAAATGGCACCTGGCTCCAGTGCTTAAGCAACTGAGTTCTTCCCTGCCTGTCATCAATCAGCTCTGCAGAGTGCCTTGTTTGGTCTGACCTCAGGCTTCAGTCTCATTGCATATGTGTATATAGCTAGGCCATTTTGGATCTCAGAAGTATCTGAGAAATTTATTTGGATTGGCAGACCAATCCAAATAAATGGAGGATGGAGGGAGCATCTGAAGGCCAGACAGGCTCATTAAAGATTTCTGAAAGGAACCTTAGGCCTCTGGGCTTTAGGCAGCTGAATTGGGCATCCAGGTCCACTGACTGCAATGGGACAGTAGGCTTAGCTCACAAGGAGACACCAGGATTGTATGAGTCTTGTTTTGGGGTGACATTCCTCCATCTAAAACCACAGCAACTGATAGTGGTGATTTTTGTTTGTTTTTAAGACTGTTAGCTTTCAATTTAAAAAAAAATATAAGAAAATGTATATTAATACCCTGATCTGTTGCAGAAACATGTGGCACACATTCAAAATACATGAGAGCTGCTTACCCCACAAAAACCTTTCCAAACCACTATACTATTGTCACAGTAAGTGAGAATTTTTGTTTCTCCTTTTCATTATCTGGATAATACAGAAAGGATTTTGTGGTGCCTGTCTTTTTGTGGGACGTGGGAACTCATGCTATAGATATCACAGAGAGATAGAGATGCTGAGATGGTACATATAGGCATGATCTGTGTGGCTATACATGTGCTGTCTGTCCCTGGCCTGTGAGCTGGTTATTCCTGATCCTTGTCAGTTTAATTGGATATGGGTGAGGATGGGTGAGGACACAGCCTTTTGATGATAGCATTTGTGAGGGTGGGTTTGGCAGCTGATATACAGCCACAGGACATACAGGGTGCTTAATCTGTAGCACATCAGGTTTTAATTGGGCTGGGAAGGAAATACTGAAAAGGGAATTTGATGGGCATGCTGAATTCATTGGCAGGAAGAGGATCTGTGTGAATTAGGAAAGCGTTCTGCTTCTAAGAAAAAAATTTTCTTTAAAAATTGCAACACTGTAGCAGTGTGCATTGAAACATAGTTTAGGGTTCATTTGATTTCAGGACTAAGCATTTTATTTTGTTTATTCTCATTTTACAGGGATTGTATCCAGAATCTCATGGTATCATTGACAACAACATGTATGATGTAGACTTGAATGCGCATTTCTCACTTTCAGGGGAGGAAAAATTCAAACCTGCATGGTGGAAAGGGCAACCAGTAGGTTTGTTTTGTCATACAGTATTTATGTCCAGATTGGTTTGTGTCATATCATAAAACAACACAAAAAGGGAGTAAAATTAAAATTTGTGCAATATGCTTGCAGAAAGTACTTGATAACCTGTAGGCTTCATATTATATGTTGCCTACAAAAGAGTTTGCTTGTTATGAAAGTAAAAGGACTCTTAAAATAATAATAATTCTGAGACTTAAACTATGCACTTAATGTGGCAGTTAGTAAAAAAAGACTGAAATATTTCATCTAGTACTGGAATGGGTTTCTTGCCACAGGGAGCCACAGTAAATTTTCAGTATGATTCGATTTTGGGTATTTTTTTTGCTTGTCTTTTGATGACTTGCTACGAAATGAAATTGGTTTCCAAATTGCATCTATTTACACATATCTATTTGCAAATGTCCAGGCATTTAAAAGCAAGGAAGGGAGTAGCAAAGAGCTTCATTTATGAAAAAAAGTCAATTAGATATAACGTATGGCACATTTCATAACAACCCTGAATTGTACCTATGGTTATGGTTAATATTATTAATTTCCTAGAAATATCAAGCTCTAACAATTGTGCCAAAAAAATCCCTAAATATATGCAATATGTAGTATGAATAGTATTATGTAGTAGTTACTTAATATACATTTATATGTATTTGTCTGTGTCTGTGTGTCTATGTAATAATGTTTATAATATACTCAAATAGCCAGTTTTTGGTGCTGTTTTTATTCCTGAAGGATTCCATCAGGTTTGTAACACAACCAGAATGGCACTTTTTAAGATTAATAGAAATATGCCCTCTTATAATAAAATCATATAATTAGAATCTATATCTGAAATAGAAAAAGATACAAAACAAAATGAAACTAATATAATAGAATATTTCAGTTGGAATGGACTTACAGTTATTATCTAGTCCAGCTGCTTGACCAACTCCGGGCTACCCAAACATTAGATCACATTTTTCAAAGGTGTTGTCCAAATGCCTCGTAAACACTGACAGGCATAGGGCAGCAACAACCTCTCTAGGAGACCTGTTCCATTGTTGTATGTGTAATAAAATGTTTCCTAATGCCAAGTCTGAATATCCCTAAGGCAGCTTCTTCCAGCTTCATGATCCTGGGCTTTGCCACAGGAATAAGGATCGTGCCCATTGGCATTTCTAGAAATACCTATATGTTTTTTTCTATGCTGAGAATACTCAGGAAGTGACAACATCATGCTTAGGTAACTGTGAAAAGAGAAGGAAAAATGCATGCTTGCAGTACATATTTCTACTTTTGTGATCTGAAGTCCTCCAGTGGTGGCCGAAAATCATTTGTTTGTATCTTTATCCAAAGGTCTGGCTGACAGCAATGTCCCAAAATTTGAAAGCAGGCACCTTCTTTTGGCCAGGCTCTGATGTTCCAATTGGGGGAACATACCCCACCTTGTACACCATATACAATGGGTAAGATCTGATACAACTTGTACTAAATTCCTGCAGATTACTCCAAAAACCCAAACTGCTGTATGATAGTTGAAGGAAATGAAATAGGATTTTTAAACAAGTCTTAACAGATAAGTGCCATGTCACATTGTCCTGGTTATGCCATAGAATGACCAAACATACTTGAAAATTTCAAAATCATTGAGGGGATTCACAATGAGAAAGTCAAAGGGTATTGTATATTCTGCACTCCTAGACAGTTTAGAAGTCTTAGCCAAATGCAAAACATTAGGAGAGCATCCTGGAAATGATTAGTAGCCACTGCTAAGCTGCACCAATGATTGTCATATTTCCATGCATAAAATCAACAGCTATTATACAGCACTCTAAAAATACTTGCACTTGAGGATAAGCTGACAGATAACCTATACCCTAAGATAACAAACACAAACTAGGGAGCCATGGCAAGAGGCTATGGGAGACAAATTACTGGAGAGAGACTGCTAGATAGGGAAGAAATTGAAAGAAGAGGGGCTCTAAATTTCCTCTGGTCTTGCTTGCATGTTTGATAATGTGCACACAGCTGTCAAATCATAGTTCTTGTTGAACTATGTTGGTTTTTCTAGTTCATTCAAAAGTTGCACATGTGAAGTACCAATTGCCTTCATAGTTTTTGTGGCATTATGTTTGTTTGTTGTGGGGTTTTTTTGTTTTGTTTTTGTTTGTGTTTCTTCCAGTATGTTTGTTTTGCTACAGAAGGCATTGACATTAGTAAATTTTTTCTAGATTTTGATGATTGTGATGATTGCAGTGTACTTCCCTGATTCTTTAAAAAGATAATCTAAAGCAAGCATAGAACCATAAGTCTCTACATGTAACAGGCTTTGCAGTGATATGTAGGCTTGGTACTCAGAAAAGACCTAAGTACTGTGAGTAAATAACATACAGCTTGTGCATGACTTTGAGGGAAAGCAGAGCTATTTAATGGGTGAATTCTCTCACAGGAAACAAAGTATGATCTCACAAAGACTGATGAGGTTATTACTTACTTTTAAAATATGAAAGTCCAAGGCTTATACATGCTGGAAAGAATAAAAATTATTCTACCTTGTATTTCAGGTTTGTTTCCTCAACTTAAAATACCTTTTTTTGCATGTATTTTTAAATATATGAGTAGTTCCACCAACGGGTTTTTGTTTGCAGAATGTGAATTCTCTCATAGGAAACAAAGCATGATCTCATAAAGACTTTGATGAGGTTATTACTTACTTTTAAAATATGAAAGTCCAAGGCTTATACATGCTGGAAAGAATAAAAATTATTCTACCTTGTATTTCAGGTTTGTTTCCTCAACTTAAAATACCTTTTTTTGCATGTATTTTTAAATATATGAGTAGTTCCACCAACGGGTTTTTGTTTGCAGAATCAGGGTCCGTCTAATTTACCACTTAAAGTGACTTACATTCAATTAAAAATGAGAGTAATAAAATGAATTGCTATACCTTGTTAAAATGCATCATTCTTAGTTCCAGATCTGTGACTTTGGTATATGAGTAGAGTATGGACACTTTCTCTGTATCTAGGAAATAGAAGTGCTAGTCAGAAAGTTTTGTTGACATAATTTTTTTTTTTTTTTCCTTTTCAGGTCGATTCCATATGAAGAGAGAATTTCAGGAATACTGAAGTGGCTTGATAATGCCCAGCCTGAGAGGTAACACCTTGTAATATCTACCTGCTTTGTGAGACTATAGCTTAGAAAGGTTTTAATGCTTAGCAATTGACATTTATGTTGGTGTTTGTGAAACATGGACTCTTCCTCACCATTTTACATTATTGTTTGCTGAACTTAAGCCCGTTCTGTATCTTATCATAGCTATGATAAGACTGTGAGCACAAAAGATTAAAAAGTGAACATATATCTGAACAGGATGTACTGTTGTATGTGTTTTATTTGATGGGTGTGTCTTTTTTCTTGGTGTGTGTCCTGTAGAAAACATTCAACATTCATTTGCTAGTCTAAGTGTGTGGAAGAAAGATTTTATATGAAGGCTATTGCACAAGAAAGGTTAAATACATGAAAGTAATTGCAGTAAGTAATTCAGGATGAAAAGTAAATGTCAATGCTGATCATGGTGTTAACTTTGTGATGTGTAAAGAAATGAAATATTTTATATGACAATTTGCTTATAAAATCCTAATGTATTTGCAGTTAGGAGATGCTCTCTAGAGTCTCACTGCTTAGTCAGGAAGAGCTCTTTCACGTGGTAGTTCCATTTACATCTCAAAAAGGATTTTTTGCTCTGGTGTATGAGATCTTGAATTTTTCCAGAGAGATTTCTGATTACCTGTCAAAGACACTGGATATTGTTTCTGAAACTGTAACTTCAAAAAGAGCCCATGTTGATTAATTACAAAACTCAGAGGAAGTTGAATGATTATTCTTGCTGTATGGACTGTTATCAAAGTTTAAAGAAGTTATTTATAATTCCTTTTAAAATGTCATTTAATATTCCTTTTTTTTTTTTTTTTGGTGCCGCCTCTAAATTCTCATAATGTTCCATTCTTGTTTATTTCTAATTCAAGGCCTGATACAAAGTGTTCCCTTTAGGTGCCGCCTCTAAATTCTCATAATGTTCCATTCTTGTTTATTTCTAATTCAAGGCCTGATATATACACTTTATATATTGAAGAACCAGATTCTTCTGGACATTCATTTGGACCAGTTAGTGCTGGTGTAAGTAGTTTCTATATTTTTCTTACACTTAATTGCGCTTAAAGTGGTGTTGCACTATGAACTTAACCAGTTCATAGACCTGGAAAGGATAGTAGATAAAAAATTGCCATGACTGTTTTGTGACTTTTTGTTAAGAACTTTTGCTCGTGGTTGAGGCTAATGTTATGATTCCCACACTATGTGTGAATCAAAAGAACCGTTAACCAAACAGACTGGCACAAAATAATTTCAGATCATACCAATAGAAAAAATATTAATATTTATATTTAGACTGAACTTTAATTGTATTACTATGTGATATTTAGAAGCGTGTGGCCTGGCAAATCCTCAGAGCTGTCTTTTATTTATTCCTATACATTGTACTGCAATGTTTACTTATTTGTATCCCAAAACTATTACATTTTTACTTGCATGATGGCAAAAAGTTCAACATTTAAGGATCTGTAACTGGTTTATCTCACAGGTAATCAAAGCCTTACAGGCAGCAGATAAAGCAGTGGGGATGCTCATGGATGGACTTAAACAAAGAAACCTGCACAAATGTGTAAACCTCATTGTTTTAGCTGATCATGGTAATGTATATACTTCTTTTTTCAAGTTAACTTTACTGAGTCACTGTTTTCTTCCTGTGTGAAATATGTGGGCTTAGTAGTGTTAATCCATTTTATAAATCACTTTCCTTGACATATGGAAAAGTACTGTTTCTATGTTGTCCTTTAGGAATGGAGAGGACCTACTGCAAGCAGTTAGAATATATGACTAATTACTTCAAAGAGGTGGATTTCTACCTGTATGCTGGGCCTGCAGCTCGCATTCGAGCAAAGAATGTTCCAAAGGACTATTTTACCTGTAAGTGTGGACCAATCCTGGGATTGAGCAATCAATACAGCAGGAAATAAATAAATAAACAAAAAATTAAATAAATAAGGAAATGGATAATCAGTAGTAATCAGCAGTGTGAGCAGCTGTCTGTTTCCCTTAATTTGGCTTCAACATCCATGGAAGTTGTTTGGGATATCTTTTTTGAAGAATGACCACTTTAGATGAATTTGAAGGTTAGAAAAGATTGTTGCAGACTCTAAATTGCATTTTCTTGACATGGAAAGATGAAGTAAAGGTAGTATTTTTTTTTTTTTTTAGCTGGAATTCAGGTCTTTCGTAAGTGCATTGCTCCTCACAGATTTCTTGTGCAACATTGGCAGAGTCAGTCTTTTTGAAGTGATGAATATTTCTGTGTGTACAAAGTTACAGAGTCTGAACCTTAGCACAGTGAAATCTAAGCCTTGGTTAAGCCCTTTAGCTAGAATCTCAAAATAACAGAAAATTGAAACTATTTGAGCTAACTCTGACTTGAAATAGATACCATGCTACCAGGCTGGAAAAAAAATCCCAGAACTTTCCCAGAACCAGAGATAAAATTGTGGAAATGCTCTATTTATCGACTTCAAAGAATTTGTAAAGTATTGTAAAAGGGATAGTTGTTGCAGGTTGCAAATAAGAGCTGGGATCCCGCTGTACTTTTTATTCATATTTTATAATTGTACTTATGTTTGAAGGCACAATATTTATATGATATAAAGCAGGCTTTAATTAGTTTAAGTCATACAAAAGCAGAGTAATGACCTGAGGAAAGAATACTCATGGTTTTTCTGTGTCTCAATCTCAATAAAACTGTTGACTCATTTCCTCTAATAGTCTTAGATTTTCTGTAGGAATTTTTCTTCCATGAAGTGCTCAGATTTGCTTTTTAGAAAGTTAATGTCAAATGGTTAAACTACTCTTTCAAAATGTGCAAGATGAAAATATCAAGATAGATTGAAATTTCCTCTGTGACTGTTGCTGGAAACAAAATACAAGACAAGTTCTCTGGGTTCTGTTGAATGAAAAAAAGGTTGTACTTCAAACAGGGGTTAGATAAGAGAAAAAACCTCAGGTCTGAGGATCTGTCAGCTTTAGGGGTAGACAGTCATCACCATGGCAGTTTTCTACAGTCTGTCCTGATGTATCCAAAGTTGTAGTGTTGTAATTACTTTCACACGCACACTTAAAGGCAGTTACCATTGGAAACATAACATTCCTGCCTGTGGAAGGCTATAGTTGCCACTATCTTCACAAGCTAATAAAGAAAACCAACTTTATAGACAAAAAAGCATGTTTAAGTTTTTCCTCATGAGGCTTTGTCCTTCAGCCATTCGAATGTACATTAATTCATCTTTTCTTTTAACAGTTGACTCAGATGGAATCGTTAAAAACCTCACAGTGAGTAAATATTCTCATAACTTTTACTCATAGCTACTCGTAATAGGAATCTGAGGAAAAAACACAGTTTGTAAAAAAATGAGACTATGGTGCCAATTTAAAAAGTGTACTGACTCCAGTGTATCTTGGGAAGCAGTTCTGGAAGTTGTTCAAAGATGATGCACAAAGGTTTGCCATAGGGAGAGAAATTTTCAGAGAAAATTGTTCTGTACTTTGCTTTGAAAGAGAAAGGGCTGACTTCAGGGACAGAAACTTGGGTATATCTTCATGATAGAAGAGAATACAGCACAGACATGCTTTAGATAATAGGCATCTCTTAGCACTGGAACACAAGTGCTGCACTCAGGCTAAGCTAAAGTAACTTTTCCACACAAGAGATAATGACATTGTAGAGTACATTGCCACAAAGTGTTGTAGAGGCTGGAAATATAAGTAGAAAGGTGTGGGGGGACACACACACATTAATGCAGGACAGCACTGTAGGGGCTTTTAGACCTGATCCACAAGGAACATCTGACTTAAAAAGTCCCTGAAGCCTAGAAGAAACTAAGCAGGTATGAGAAAGAAACTTCATTCAATACTTGGCTTGTTTTTACACACTTTCTCTAAGTGTCTGATTCTAGGAATTTTGGAGGTCTGATTTGAAACAGAGTACTGGGCAAGATGGGCCTTTGGCATCAGGCAGATCCACTCTGGATCTTTTGACATATCACTGAAATAGTTGCAGTGCTTTTACATATGCTGCACCACGACAGGGCCCTGTGCTGGTAGCTCTGCTTGGAACTGAGCCGTGCTGAATGGATGTAGCACTTGCGGGCAGGTCCAAGCTTGCCTGTGTCTCCCATGTGGGCACATTTTGACAGCTGAGTTCTGAAGGATACAAACAAAGAAGTGCAGAACACAGTGCAAAAGAAAGAGAGACCAAATCTATTTCTTTTATTAAAGGGTGATGTGATAGTGCATGGTTCTTTCCTCTTTCCTTATACTCTTTTAGACAGATAATTCAGTCTCTGTCACTTTTTTGTAGTGTTCAAGATATACATTAATACATGTGGGATGAATGTGCTGGCCAAACTAAAAAAATTGTAGGACAGTTGTCTTTCTGTATTTCTTTCCTTTTACAATTTATACTGAGTTAAACATTTAAACTGCTTACTCTCAGTGTGCTGTCATAAATTTCCCTTATTTTCTTCATTGCCAGTTTGTTTTCTATTCTGTGGCTTGTCCTGTGCTAAGCAGTAGACAGGTGTTGTGGTACCGTTATAAAAATGCTCTCAGTTTGCCAAAATCCTGGGCACCCAAAGGGATATGTTTCCGATAAATCTCCACTAGAGGTCTCCCGTTAACCTGTTGAACTTGCAGGAGTAGGCTCAATGGCTGGGAATAGCTGAAGAAGCTTTCTCATTGCTACACCCCCCGCCTCGCTGTATGATGCGGAGTCTGTTGCATCAAAGAGCATCGGTATGAGGGGAATATCACAATCTGCATGTTCTCACCCTCTGCTGAAACTGCTACTGCTAATAGTTACAGAGATGTGACATCTTGTGCCTTATGGGAATAGTCTGGTACTAGGACGTGCCCTCTTTCCTTTCCTCTTCATAAATGGTTGGTGTATTTTGTCCCTGTCAAGTTATTAGAATGAGGGGTTTTTGCAGAGAAGGGAGTTGTGTGTTTTATTTTTATTGCTAATGAATGGACATAAGTCACATGCTGATTTCCTCTATTTTTCCTTTTAATTAGACCTCTTCTTCCGGGCTAGCAAACCCACTGAATCCTTATTTTTCATGTTCCTCTGTTCTTCTTTGATGACTACTGAGGCACAGTTACTCCCATGTCACATGTTAAAATCTGTATCCTGTGCAGAGCATACAATTCTAGTATTTAGAAGTGAAGATGTCAGACCAGACTCCAAGCATGGTATAGTTTGTACAGCCTGTGTGGTAAAACAGGTCCACTTCTGTGGCCTACCCAGCTTCCTAGCAGCTCTTCTTTAGCATTTTAGATATTCTAGGTTATCCCAGTGCTGGATTCCTGGTCTGGAGCTACACTTCTGAAACTTTGCCATGATGCTTGCAGCCAGCTGGAATGGCTTCTAATGGCCATATATAATTAAGTCTTTGCAGTATGTCATATGGTTATCATTAGCTCACAATTCCAAGCTCTTCCATGGCACGCCTACTAATGCAGCAGTTACATGAACTCACTAAATGAGGGTGTAAAAGCTAAGACCTTTAGCTAACAGCTGATCAAAGGACATTTACATGTCCTTCAGGCTTGCAGCTAAAACCCTAGACTGTGCTGAATTGTGTATACTTGGCTTGCTTTGTTATTTATTGAATGGTAAAGTGACAGAAGGTGGCAGAAATAAACTGCCAGGGAACTTTCTCTTGTGAAGTGTTATCTTACCAACGAGATGCCAATGGCATTAGTACGGAAATATAGACTAAAAAGTTCTACTGAGTGTCTTTAAGCCTTAGATGTACTTTTACCACAGTATCTGTGCACTTGATATACAAATTGTATGTAGTCTATTTTCAAAGAGTTCCAAAAAGGTGTTGCTTTTCCTTGTATTGCTTCTGGGGCCAAAAATGACGTCTGCAGGTCATGCGAGGAGCTATCTGTGAATAATGGGCTTTGTGCTTGCATTCCTATCACTGAGATATTTGTGATAATTTTGAATGATGGGTAGCTTTTTGAACCTGAGGCACAACTCGTGACTGGACTCTTTCCTCTCTCACAGTGCAGAAGATCCCCTCAGCACTTCAAGCCCTACCTGACCCCTGACTTGCCCAAACGATTTCACTATGCTAACAACATTCGTATCGATAAAGTTCATCTTTTGGTGGATCGACAGTGGCTGGCTGTGAGGTAACATAATTTGTGTGATTGTTGTGCTGTTTTTTTCATCCTGCTCTCATCCTTTTAATTTCCTTCACAGATGCTTCATTTCCTGTTTTGCTTTAGGCTTGTAACCTTTCCATGTTTGTTACAGTTGAAATAATCCTATGTGTAAAAAGGAAACATGGTTGTTTTGGTGAAACCAAATAACTGTCCTGGACATACAAAAAGAAATGTGCACTGAAAAAAATCTTATAATCACCCTATTTTAAACTGTGTTCAAATGTTCTTGGGCCTCTGAAAACAGGATGCCTGCACTTGACAACTGTGCATTGAATTGGTATGGAGTGACTATCTCTTTACTTTTCTATGTTAGTCACTATGTCAGAGTATTCTGATGCGTTGTTAATTCCATAACCCATCCCCACATTTTCCATGTCTCCTCACCCTTCAGAATCCGTGATGAAAATGCGCTGTCTTGTAAGGCAAAATCCCTTGCAAGTCTTATTTATATTATTCGACACAGAGGCTAACAGCAGAGTTCTCCCATTGTAAGTTTTTTGTTAAAATGCCAAAGAATATAACTAGGAATTCTTCCAAACAGATTACACTTGTTTTGCAACCTGTAGCTAGGTAAAGGCCTCAGTTCAAAAATAGCCATTTTTTCAATTTGCTTTGAAAATATTGTTTCACTGTACACTCACAGCCAGCTAGGATAATTTATTACTGTCCATAGCAATTTCTATTGGAGGAGAAACAGGTCTTCATGGAAATGAATGCTATGATGAGCCATAAATACTACAATATGATGGCAGAGTCAGTTCTCAAGGAATGATTGAGTCTGTGAGCCACAATGACTGTTACTAAGTGCTTGTATTTGTGTCAGTTTTATTTACACTCTGTGATGGTTTCTCCTTAGGGATGAAAGTTACAGATCTTGTGATGGAGGTAACCATGGCTATAACAATGAATTCAAAAGTATGGAGGTAAGATGATTTCTATTCTATTCTTGCACTTTCATATATACAAAATCATGATGTGACAGGTAAATCACCAGAATACAGAACAAAGATAGTTTTTGCAGTGCGCTTTTTCTTTTCTGGCCATAAGACATATAAACTGTAAACACATACTAGGTCCAAATATTTGTATTGCCTTTCATCGATGTGTACAAGGCCTGTTTCTTTGGGATCCTGTAGTAAAAACAGTCTGGGCTTACCTTACCTGCTTGCAGACAGGTGGACCACAGTAAACCAAGTCTACCATGTTTAGCCACTGAATTCTTTTGTTCTTTCATTCTTCCACTGAGGCACTGACCGAAAAATCTCCATAGGCTCTGGGAGCTCATCTGAGCATCTGGAAACCTGTATGCTCAAATAAACAAAATCACATTATTGCTGCTTATCTTACAAGAGTTAGTCATATCATCAGGGCAAAAAAGTAATTAGCTATACTGTGTGTTAGTATAGCCTGTGTTGCAGTTTCAGCTCATTTTTACTTCTGGTTACAGTGAAAATATTTTGAGGTCTTCAGCTTTTGGTGTCATGTATTTTCTGTGATGTGAACCTTTAACTAAGGTCAAGCATGCCACTCTAAGTCGCATATTCTGTGCCTAAGAATCAGATCCATCCGGATCTTTATAACTATTTTAAAACCAAATATCAGTGAACAGAATTATGCTGAATATTTGTATGGAAAGAAAAGGTAAATTCTGGTTACCATGGAAACCTTAATAATAGATAACCTTACAGAGGTGCCACAACTCCACAACTGATGCTTTTTTTTTTTTTTTTTTTTTTTTAGAAGAGAGCAACATGTCATCTTTCTATAATAAACTGAAAATTCCTTTTCTGTTATGGACACATAATATTATTTTAGAACAGATCCTGCTAGTCATATTTCCCATATCTCCTGGCAGACAGCTCAGGAGGCTCACAAAGCAGTAGAAACTCCTGTGAGACTGAACATAGTATCAGTGTTCTGGAACAAGCCTTGCAGGCTCCAGAAGGGCTGCCCAGCACGGCATTGTGCCGTTGGTGATACAGATGCAGGTTTCTGCTGAATGAGCCTCTGCAGTTCCCTGCTCCTTGCTTTAACCATGGCCATAGACTCTTAAGTGACCCAAAAACTTCAGAGTGCAACAGGCATTAAAAAAATACCCCAAAACCAAATAAGATTCATTATATAGTTTAAACTATGAATTTTTGCTTTGCATTTTTCTTCAAATTATGTGCAATGGCAGAAATTTGCCTTCCTTACCAGAACAATCATATACTTTTAACTTCTGTAACTGTGAAAAGACTGTATGTTGTTCCGTTGTCCCAGTTTTCATAAAGTGCAATTGAATTGGTTTTGACTTTGGATTTCTTTAGATAACTGATTTTTTATTTTTACTATTACAATCTAGGCTATATTCTTAGCATATGGCCCAAGCTTTAAAGAGAAAACAGAAGTGGATGCTTTTGAAAACATTGAAGTTTACAACCTTATGTGTGGTGAGTAGAAACAATCAAATACTTTAGATGATAATGTTCTAGTATTTTCAAATACCAGTGCTGTAAGAGCTAAAAGAAGCATGGCTAAAAATTGAGTGAATTCATTCAAAGCCAAATCACTGAAGCTGTGCTCTTAGGCTTTCTTTACAGTGCTAAGAAATTGACTTCCAGAAGTTGTTCTGTTTTGAAGGTTTTTTTCTGATTGCAGAAGAATTCCTTTAGAATCAGAGGGAACCACACCTGACGCATGGGTTTGCTGTCAAACTGATGCCTGTGAAATTGTGGATAAGAATCTTATAGAGAGTAACTGCTCTTGCTCAAGACTTAGGATGGACCATTGCAGTCCCAGCCGTGCACAATTAGGAAGCATGAGCCTCAGAAAATATCTTAAAGCATCACACAAAAATGCAACAGGCTACTAGGTTTCACAATGTGATGCACTTGCAATAGCATTTTTACTTTGCATTAAACTGTCTAATCTTGTGAATGTTGTGACAACGTATAAAACTGTACCAAGAGTACTCAAATCTATAGTTACTAAATCTTGATGCAGTGGAAGATAGCAAAGAACCTTCACACCTAGAAAATTGCAAGGTGGTTGGAATAGTTACTGTAATAGTTTAAATAATGGAATAAGCTATTTCTTCTACCTTTAAAAAATGACTAGGAAATGAGTAGATTTGGAAAGAGAATACCTTTTTAAAATACTGTTTTAGTCTTAAAACATGTTTACAAATTTCAAACCTTTCGTCAGATTTGCTGCATATAGCACCAGCAGAAAACAATGGAACTCATGGCAGCTTGAATCACCTCTTAAAGAAACCCTTTTACAATCCTTCACATCCAAAGGAAGTCTCATCTCCCTCTTCATGTCCAGTTTCCAGTCTGACTCCTGCAGATGACCTGGGATGCAACTGCACACAAGTAAATAGGAGTTTCTGGCATCTTTTAATCATCTTTGTCATGTGTGTTCTGCTTTCTTCATTTTTTTCTAAACAATGGAATAATTTTGAACGGTTCTCTTATTTTTTACAGACTTCAGTTGCATCACCAGAAGAGCTAAATGAGAGGTTAAATCTCACCACAGAAGAAAGTAAGTAGCAAAAAATGCAAAGAGCTGCAGTATTTTTAAATCTACACCAGGTTTATATTTTATGTCACTGGCTTCAGTGGGAATTTTTGCAACGTTAATTACAATTGAAAGTGAAGTAGGAAAATCAGGTCAGAAGCATATATTTTTTTTCATTTTTCCTTTTCATTTCTTTAAAAAATGCTAAGGGACTCTGTTATAGCAGCATGTATATATAGAAATAGGATCTGAACCCCATTAAAATTTTTGAAAAAGCCATAAAGATTTCAATGGTCTTGAAAAAAACTGAGCACTGTCAGGCTATATATATATAAGAGTGATATAACTCTTGCTCCTTACCCTGTATCCATAACTTTATATTTCTCTGATCAAAAATTCCCATAGATACTTCTTTCTACTTTTTTATGGGCTTTCTGGAAATTGTGGGAAACGTAATGCCTCCTCATCAAATAAGATGTAAATTTCACTCCACTGGCAAGATAAATTCAATATATTTTTGCATTGGTATGAAATTTCAAAGAAACAAGAATTTGCAAACCTGATATTGACTTTTGTGCGTTAAACATAATACGAAAACTATTTTCTACATTTTTTATTCTGCTTATAAGCCTAGAGAACCACATGACTAAGTTTACTATTGTATCTATTTGTATTTGCTAAAGTTTTAATTAACAATTTTTGTCTGCTCTCTTAACCTCTTGTGCCATTCAAAATGTTATAGAAGAATAAGTCAATAATTATTATTTAAATTTTAGTAAAGAAGGCAAGCTCATCTCATTTGCCATATGGGAGACCCAAAGTTCTTCAGAAGGAAAAGTTCTACTGCCTCCTTTCCCATCATCAGTATGTGAGTGGATACAGCTATGATATCTGGATGCCACTGTGGACTGCATACACTGTGAATAAGCCTGTAGGTTATCAAATATCTCTACTACTCTTAAATATGGGATCTAATGGATTAAAAATGTTGTCCATTCTTCAGGAGCCCTGTTTAAGGGCTGGTGGATGTCATGTGACTAAGGCACTTGTCTCAGAAGAAGTGTCTTTGATATCATTTAAAATTCAGCTATCTTAAAATAAAGTTTTGAGGAGTGGGAATGACCATTTGTTAGGGACACAAAAGATACAGGAGAGTAGAGAAGCTGGTGAGCTGGTTCTATTAAGCCTGTTCTGTAAAAGGGATATGCCTTTTACAAGAATTGTCAAGATAATTCTCCATCATGCCTGTCAGTTCCTGTGGAAAAACAGGCTGTGATTTCCCAAATCAGAAGTTTTAAGCTTTCCTATGAGTACCATAATCTTTTTCTTATTAAATACCCTCTATGCAACTCTACAAGACAGTTTGCACTAATGCATATTTCTGTGTGTTCTTTGCTCTCTGTTACGTGATATAATTTCTGAAAAATGTAATTATAGTTGAATGAACCTCTGAGCGTTCAAGGGTATGCGGATCCAGAATAAACGGAGTTTTTAGGGTCAGTAAACTAATGGACATTCATGGGCTTACTTGCCCTTATAATTTGACCCCTTTTCTAAGTTGCCTTGAGGAAATAGTTTCTATGTTGATTCTTCTGTCTGAAGAGGATTGTTATTAATGTCTATGTGATTTCTTATTTCATCAGTACAAATATGAAGAAATTATTTCAATCAAATGTGTGCTGCTAAAATGATAGAATTTCAGAAAGTTTCACTCCATACTTTCTACTGATTCTTCACTATCTTGGTTGAAGGATCATGAATCCAATCGTAAGAAGGCTAAAAGTCATTTAAACAAATGTCCATTTCAACAAGGACTGTTGATACTTCAGGTTTGAAGATCTGCCCTTAAACCTTGCAATGAAAGTGCATTACCCAATTGAAAACTAGTTAATTGTGGGTGTATTTTTTGTCTGATTTTGCTTTAAAAAGACTGAAAATAACATCAGAGCTGCAGTCTTCTTAATATTGAGCTTAGAAAAGCTCAAAAACCCAAATAACTTTTCAGACATTTTCCTTTGTTGAAAAATAAATTCTCAGTTATCAAAGAATCATAGAACTTTAAAGGGTTGGAATGGACCTTGAAGATCATTTAATCCCAATCCAGCCATGCCACGGGCAGGGACACCTCCTACAGATTGCTCAAGACCTTAACCAACCTGGCTTTGAACACTGCCAGGGTTGGGACATCGACAACCTCCCCAGGCAACTTGTTCCAGCATCTCACAACCCTCACATGAAAAAAATTCTTCCTAACATCTAACCTAAATTTCCCCTCTTTCAATTTGTACCCATTGCTCCTTGTCTTATCATGACAGTTCTTGACAAACAGTCCCTCTCTGGCTTTCCTGTAGGACCCTTCAGATACTGGAAGTGTATAAAGAAAGTTATTGCTCAACTTAACATCTGAATTAAGAGAAATACATATTTTTCAGGAGTTTCTTATAGCAGTGTATGCAACATTGTGGGAAGCAGTGAATGACTGAGAGTGGAGGATTGGAGGATATAGGTCACAGCAGACTCTAATACAGTGATGTATGTTTTCTGTAGAAAGAACAGGAAATCATAAATCATCTGTAATAGTGACAGAGGCACAACAGTGAAAGGCTCTGAGTGTAAGAGCTCACACACTGACTTACCTTGCACAGTAACCTGACATTATGATTTTTTTATTGCGTGTGCTAATCAAGAGGAATAGGCTTTGTAAATTGTAACACCTGTGGAAGGACAGAGGGATAGAGCTAAGGCCTTTGATAGTGAGGTTTGACTGCAATAATTGGGAATGACAGAAACTTGCCCTTTCTACAGAATTTTTATTGTACCCTGGGTTAATTAGTTTGGATGCAGCCTGTGCAATGCTTTGCACAATTTGTAAGCTGGGGTATATCTCATCATTATGTAGCTGTAAAGAAGTGCTCAAATATTAAACTAGGTAATGCAGGCTGGACTTTTGCTAGATTTGTGTAATTTGGAAGTTTTGAAACTGGATGAATAACATACACTTGCAGATCTTAAATAAAAGATATTTTGATTGATAAATTGATTGATAAAAGGCATTTTGATTACTTATTATTCTCAGGAATAAGGAAAATTTAAGATTGAAGGACATTAGTTTTCTCGAGGTTTTATACTCATCCACCAGGGAGGAAGGCATATTTTCTTGCAAAAAAGACTGAATTTGACATAGGAGAGCATAGCAGATGCTTAAATTCTGTCATGAAATGCAAATAACTCTTGCTTCTTGATATAAATTACTGGCTCATCAAAAATTAATAAATGGCATTGAAAAGGACAATTCATGATGTGATAGGCACAGCCAATTTTTAGTTTTAACTGCTTTCTTCAGGAGACATTATGGTTCTTTGACCTGAAATAGAAGGAACCAAATTGGTGATAAATGTTTTTTTGTTTTTTGGTTGGTTGGTTGTATTTTTTTGACACATGAGCTGCTCAGGAGTCAAAGGAACATTTTCTCTTTTATATTTCATTCCATGTGGTATATATGTATTCCATTATTATACAACCTGATCATAATATGGCATCTACTTGAATTTTGATAAAAGTAACTAAAGAAATAATATCAAGGAGTACAAAGAGGCAAAAGAAGAATATATCAGTTCTTTATTTTTCCTTGGTTTTAATTGATCAAAACAAACAACGTACTGAAAACCAAATTAGATGTTTAACTTCTGTTTATAAAGGTATAATGCAAAATATATTCTAGTCTTATCAAAATTAAAATAAGTTACATGTAAATGAGGATGAAAAAAAGTTAAACACAAAAAAAGAATATTCAGATGATTTAATGTTATTGCTAAACTATGAAAAAGTGTGTAGAAAAGGTTATAGAAAAAAAAAGTGAATATTATAGAAAGAAATATAGTAATCAGAATCACTTTTGGCCAGATCTTAGCATGTTAACATATTTTGGTGAAGCTACTAAAGCCAGTAAAATGTTCAAAATTTACTGTGGATTTCTTTATCTGTAACTCTTCAGCAGCACAGATTCTTATGGAGACTGCATCCTTAGATGCCAAGATGAGGTGATAGTGTCATTTTTATATACTAGCTGCTTTCCAGGAGGATGTGACATCGACTTTGTGTTTCCAGAAATATGTAAAAGTGACGAATGAGTCAAATGTGAAATCTGTTTTTGCCTAAGGTGTAACCTTATTTTGCTGCTACAGTTTTACACGGTACATACGGATTTCCCTGAATTACCTAAAAACAGAAGTGGAAGAAAAACACTACCCAGAAAACATTAGTGTGTATTACTTGCATTGACCTGATTCACTACGAAAATAGGAGAAGATTCAATGAAGTCCATTCTAGAAAGTTAAAACCATACAAAGCACTGGCTTAGCCACAGCCGTGGGTGTAAGATTTTTTTTCCTTTTCACAGGAAAACACATCTCCTCTTCCTCCCACTGTTTCAGACTGTCTGCGGCCTGATGTTAGAATCCCTGCTGCTTGGAGCCAAAATTGTTCCGACTACCCAGAAGGGCTGACCTTGACCCACAGTTTCCTTTATCCTCCCAGTGAGTGTGGTTCTTTTTATAGAGACCTTAGAAAGTCTTAATCAGCTGGATGTGGGTTTATGTTTAAACATATACCCAAACACCAAAACAAACTTCTTTGGATCAGCATGTTGGGCAGAAAAAGGTTTCCAGTGTTTGCAGACTGACCAAAAGTAGGGCAGTCACTACTTGTATCTAAATATTTTTGGTTTAGAATATTTAAGGGTTTTTTTAAAACATGTGACAACTTGAATGTGATGAAAGCTGGTTGGAATGATGTAAAGGGCTGGAAGGAAAGGCTGTCCCTCTTCCTCTGCATAAATATTCGTTTCCTATTTTCAGATTTGGTAAATATTATTTATTGAGTAGATTTCTTGGACAAATTTGGGGATATGTTTGCAGTAGGATCATACACTCATGCTCAAATGTAACATGTAATTGAACTACTTGTACCTACAATTTATAGTGACATATGAATCAATTGGTCTTCGTATAGTATTCCGTTCACTTATATTTTGATCTTTTTATATAGACTACAATTCATCTGATCTTGAACAGTATGATGCCTTACTCACCAGCAATATTGTTCCCATGTATAAAGCTTTCAAAGGTAGGATGCAAAATTTGGACTTATTATGATTAATTTTCTATAATTATTGTTCTGGATTTGATAAAGCTATAACAAAATGTTAAAACATTAATGCATGGCCTGCTGTATATCCAGATGTTGTGAAAATATACTTAAAACATTTTAGGAGTAGATGTTTGAAAATTTATAGCACAATTATAAGCTTTTTTTTGTGGTGTTTTTGTGGGTTTTTTTTTTTTTTTTTTTTTCCTTTGTATAGTCCTATCTGGATTCTGTTTATCCCTGCTTACCTGTTTGCTTTTCAATTTGCTCTTCATCTCCTCTGGGCTGTCCTAACATAAAACACTAGTTATGAAACTCTCATTACCTTGGGAATATGCTCTAGGTGAATGAAAATGGCACTTTTTCTTTTTTCAAAATCTGAAGAGAAAACCTCAATAATATTAATCTTGCAATACTATTTCTGTAATAGATGTTTTTATTATGCAAGAGTGGTAAGCTCTTCCCACCCAGCCTAACTCACATTTGTTTGTAATCATTGATAAGAAATTTTCTATAGCTGCTTATGATCCTGTTTTACTCTTAGGCCTAGGCTAATTTTCTTAGAAAATGCATAAAAAGAGGAATTGTGTAAGAAAAAAATTGGAAAAAACACAATTATGTAACTACCTTTCTAATACATTCAGACCTCATTTATTCATTCACTCATATAAAAACCAGAGATACAGAAGACCTAAGTGTCTTTAATCTTCCAAGTAAATCACGGACTGTGACAAACCCAGTTTTTCAAGGAAAACAACAAGAAGTTTCTATAGACCATAAACAACAGGTAATTCAATAGGAGATTCCCTCAATGCACCAAACCCATAAAGGTTTTTTGCCATGCCAGTTGTAAATATTTGAATAATCTCACTATCTTATATCCTACAAATTGTATTTTCTTGATTGACATCTGTGAAATAAGCCAAATTGTCTAGTGATGTTTGGTACGAGCTCTTTACAGTTAAACTAACACCCAGGTGGTGAGTATTCCTCTCCCAAAACCATTTTGTCAGTTCCTACTATTTGTAACACTGCAGGTACAGACACATCAGCCAGAAATTAATGACCTCTCAGCTGTAGGTTTGTAGCTTCAGCTTTAGATCAAATAAATATACACTCCAGTAGTGCAATTTGCCTTGCACGACTATAATAGCATTTACAGCATGTCTTTCAGTGGCAAGTGGGAGTATGCCCCTTCTAATGAAATCCAAATTTTATGCAACAAAGAGTTGATTTTATGGGCAGTTTAGTTCTGAACTTTTTTTTATTAATCTACAGTGAAAACACAAATACGCTACTTTTCTTCAGTGGTGAAATTACTTTAAATTGATATTAATTTTGCTTTTATTTTCTTTTTATGACAGACATATGGGACTATTTCCACAATGTGCTTCTTCAGAAGTATGCTAGAGAAAGGAATGGGGTAAACGTTGTCAGTGGACCAGTGTTCGATTACAATTATGATGGCCATTTTGATAGCCCTGATGAAATTAAGCAGTAAGTACATGGAAAAGCCAGAAGTCAAACTCTATATGACTTCCACTGTATTTCCACACAAAAACCCCCTATTTTTTAAAAAGACTAAGAAACAAGTATCATGGAGAATGCAGTATTCTCTTTATAATCCTACATCCACTATTACTCATACAACAGGAAATGCTCTTGCAAACAGATACAGTCCCATGGAAGTTGGAGTTCAAGTAAAGAGTAAAAAAGCTGTACAATTACATGTGTATCTCTATACACATGCACAGGTACAGACTAGTAATTAGTCTCTAGTAATTAGTTTCCAAGGTGATGCCTAGATTTTAGGTTTTGGGCCTCTGCATCATAAATGCTGGGGGAATATGACATTTAAACCGGCAGAAGACATGCTTAAGCATGCTTTTCTCACTTTGATGTTGTGCTCACTCACCTGTCTGTTGTTTCTTCCTATTGTCTCAAACTGATGTATTTCCTCAAAGGTCAGATTTGTGTGTTTGCCTTCACTGAATCACATAACTGGAAATGCAAAATGTAACATTCCTGAGTTATACCTTTGCATAACTATGGCTTACACAGCTTACTGCAACATCTGATATCTTTACATGTAAATTATAAAGACCAATTATTTATGTCAGTGAATAAGGATACAAGGAAATAAAAACAGAATTAGAAAAACTTAGATTAGGGAAAATACCTTGTGAGACTAAGAACATTTATGGAGTAGAAAGGTGCTGGGAAATCTGCACAGCTGAAGCTATCACTGGAGATGTTTTATTCAGGCTAGACTTGACCACATCTGTTAAAAATGGTTTGAGAATGGGAAAATCAGCCTGCCACGTAGTAGGACGCTGGAAGGGAGGGGAGACTACAACTTCCTTCCAAGCAGAATGCTGTAATACCCAGCTGACCACATAATGCTGCCTCCAGTTTGCAATAAGCATGTTTTAGTCAGCATGGTTAGGCAGTCATGCAAAGCAGTATAATAATTCAGTGATAGTGTTTTGTTCAATACTGAACAAAAAAAGCCTGGGAATCATTCAGCTCTTTATACACAAGTGAGCAGGTTTGCAGAATAGTCAGGAAAGACCAGCAAAGACATTTTCAACCGAGTATCCTAAACTGGTTTCTACAGCACACAGCCACAAATCACTGTTTTGGCATTTCTCAATGGCAAGGAGTCAGAAGTTAATTTTCTCATCGCTCTCCTCCAATTCAAGTGGTTGAAATTCTTTGTATAATGAAGGGCAAATATGATGCTCTATTCTGACTCTTCCAGGTGTAGAAATCTCTGGCTCTGGCAAAATAGAGTATTGACCATGTTAAGCAGTCCTGTTTCACTGGGACTGCTTGTAGCACTCAGAGTAATCCATGTATGTTTGGCTGTTCATAAAATAAATGGTGAGGCTGTGTATCCCATCAGGTATTTTTTTCAATTACAAAAGAAATTTAAGTCATATAGTATTGAAAGATATATATTGAGATAATCCTATAAATTTCTAATTGTATCAGTTGTGTTAATACTTGATATCTCAAAAAATGCCTTAAGTAATGTTTGTTTTGTAGGTATGTAAACAATACAAAAATCCCTGTCCCAACCCATTACTATGTGGTTCTGACAAGCTGCAAGAACATATCCTACACTCCACTGAACTGTCAGGGGTCCTTGGATGCTTTGTCTTTTATCATTCCTCATCGACCTGACAACACTGAAAGCTGTGCTGTAAGTATAGTTCTACGTTCCTGTGTTCCGATGAACGTTGGGAACTGATTCCCATTGGAATCTAGTCATCCAGAGAATCTTTATCAGTCTGTGGAATTAACTCATTCCCCATGAGCTGGGAGTGAGCTGAGAGTTAAAGCAATCACCAGAAGAGCAAGGAGCACCAGGAGAGGTAGCTGGAAACTAATGAGCTGATAGGAAGCAAGGAAGAAGAAAGGAAGGTAAGATAAGAGAACAGGGAAATGCTGTCACCTGAGAAGGGCTGAGAACAGCAGCACAGGCAACAGGGAGATGAGATATCTTTATGGAAGACTGCAGGATAAACTTACTTCAGAGGCATCAGAGGACTCTGAGTATTATTCCCTTCAGTTGCTAGAAAATTCCTTCAGTTGCTTATTCCACCTCCATGAGAAATTAGACAGCAGGCATTTGGATGGTCCTGCAGTTAAAATTCATACTTGAATTAAATTAAATCTCTGCTTAGCACTAACAGTGTGAATCTTATGCCTCGTAGCAAACAAAATACATGATCTGAGTGTAATATGTATTGTTGAGGCAGCTGAGTGTATATTCCACAAACTTTGGTTTGCACAAGGCTCCTAAACTCAATGTATATATATTGCACAAGTACAGCTGCACAGACTTAAACTGGTCTTCACAGACAGATTTTAGTTTATTTATAACTTTGAACTCATAACTCCAGACAGGTGCAAGCTTGCCCTACTTGGAAACAACTTCTGTGTCTCCCCATTTGTAGTGTGGATAATCCATAACTTCCCAGTGAGATCTTTTAGTAGTTGAGGGTTGACTAATGATTAGCATGAATTAGTCATTATAGTTTAGAAATTGACTGTAATTTCTAAAGTTTAGCAATAAATCCCAAATCTTCTCATTTTATATTCATCATGTTTGGCAGTAACATAAATTTAATGAATCATTTGCCTCAGAAGCAAATATTGTTAATGAAAAAGCAAATTACCAGCTGTTTGCAAAACATCCCTTGTAGTGAAAGAACAGAAAATAACATTTTGGATTGATTACTGGTTACATTTCCGTTGTTTTCCCCGTCTAACCAGCAATTCTTGCTGTCCAGCAATCAAGACTGAGCTGCTGTAAAGACTTTTTGTGAGTTGTCAGGTGCCTGTTTCTTGACTGGCCTGAGCAGTGCAGCTAATTTGTGCTGTAACTAAAACCATCCTTATGTGTGTGCTTGAAATGTGACTCATGCATTTTGTAGTTAAAAGTCACAATTGCCATGTCAGCACAATTCTTCTTGTCTGTTACTTTGGAAGTGGAGAGGTGGGTAGAAGAGGCATCCTGTGATTCTGTTTAAATGAGATCCCTAAAAGCAAGACTGTAAAGATACCTAGGAAAGCCTGAAAGAAGTATTGCCAACTGGAGGCCTTTAGTCTGTCAGACCAGGTCAAACACTGGCAATTGCCTAACACTGCCACCGAACAACAGAGGGCATTTTATGAGTTTGAGCATTGTTCTTGTTTGTTTTCACAGGAAAATAAGACACTTTCTGAATGGGTTGAAGAAAGAGTTCAGGCTCATTCTGCACGTGTTCGGGATGTGGAGTTGCTAGCTGGGCTTGACTTTTACCAGGAAAGAAATGAACCCGTCTCCGAGATCTTGCGGCTAAAGACATTTCTGCCAATATTTGAGACTGAAAGTAACTGATTATCTTTGGAAAAGGGGTCAGTGCTTGGAAGAAAGGTGAAATCACTGAAATTTTCTATTTCCTTGCTTAAGCATGTGGGAGTATTTTTCAAATTTGTGTTTTTCAGTCAAGTGTTTTGTGCCAATACAATTTGAATAAAAATGATACATAAAATTTTCTAAAGTGAACTAAATCATCATTGTTGAGCCAGGCTTTCAAAATACAGAATATATTTTTATTATGTAAAAACTAATATATTATGTTACTATAAAAATACATGAAATATTATATGTGATATTATATATACAATAGTAGTAGTAGTAATGATTGAAAAAAATACAAAAGGAACATATTTTATACTACAGAGACACCAGAACTGTAAATTGTATATAAAATACTTCTACAATGGAGCTGAAAAATAAAACACTTTGAGAGGAGTGTGTGTGTTTTTTCCCTTGTGTTTATCAAAGAGGTTATGGTTCTCTAACACAAGCACATCTTGAAGTGTTCTGAATTTCTCTTTCTCACCTATTAATTCACACAGAAACGTATTCTGACTCACAAAAAGTTTGTATGTAGTGCAAGCAATCATCACCTGTGTTTTCCACTTGGGTTAATTCATTATGCTAGTAACAAGTGAAGTGAAGTGAATGAGTGATATTCTTGAACCATTCAAAAATATTAAAACATTCTGAACATGAAGAGGTAAAAGAAATGCTCTACACAGAAGAATTTTGTCTTGATATTTACCTGTATGTGTAATGGTTTCCAAATGCCTGGTGCTAATAAAATGTTTGTGTCTATTTTTAAATAGTTAAACTTGAGATTAGAGCACAAAATTAGTAGTAACATCCAAAACAAATAGTCACTCTTTCTGTAGAGACTTTGTAAACAGATACTTTGTGTACTGTGCTGTACACAAATAATTGCTGAGGACAGGTAAGTAGGACAAGACAGTTGAAATTTCCAGATTATGCTAATACAAAAATGTCACCCATAATAGAGTGTTGAGATGAGCTACTCCACTACAAATGTTGCTAAGTGCATTTATGAATAATCATGGATGAAAAACAGCAGAAAATTGATCATCTGATTTATAGGCACAGTGGGAGCATTTTAAAGATGCCTGTCAAACTGTGTTTCAATCTATAAAATAACTGTGGACTGAAGGACCTGTCTGTTTAAAGAATGAAACTTTAAACTTCCAAACTTTTCAGCACAAAGAATCCAAACCCACCACAGGACACTATTTTTCCCAAAGTTCCCAAGATGATCACTGTATGCCCGCATACCAGACAGAGTTTAGCAATATTGATCTTAAAATCATGATGTGGGACCAAACTGAACATAAAGATTTTTATCTCAGTGAAACCATTACACCATCATGGAGTTGCAGTTCACTACCCTACAATGTTTCGACATCAAGTCTGCCCACCTAAATCAGATACTTCTTCTAAACTGATCCAATTAAGAACATGACTGTTTTTTCAGTTCATGGTAAATCATACCCTAACTCAAGTAAAAAAATCTACACTCTTACTGTAGAAGAGTGGGACAAAAGAACAGTGACTAAATGTATAAAATACACTGGGTTTATTTTACTCTGAAATGCTGAGAAATTCAAAAGTTAAAGTAACAACAAATAGACCATACAAAATAAACACATCCTATTTAATTTAAAAACATAATCATCCTTTGTTAATCATTCTGCTTTGTCCTGAGATTTAGGAAATTATGCTGTTTCTGAGTATTTCAAATTTCTGTTTCCTAGGGGATGTGAGTATTGCTTTCCCAAATTGGTAAGCTTTTTGTTTCTGTGTTTTTCAGACAGTTCTGAAACTCCCAAAGCTGAAGCAGAATAGCCACAAATTAATCTGCTGACTGCAACAGCAGATGTTGCCAAGTCTCAGCTCTCTGAGCCACCTTTCATGTGAGAATTAAAAATGTAAATTCTGTAAAACATTATTTTCCATATGCCATTATTGAAGCTAAGAAACTGAGTGCTCCTGTAGACATTGGAAATCTGAACTCTGGAGGACCTTGCTGCTCCCCTCTCTTATGCTTGGGTCCTTTTAAGTTTTAGAGTACTAGAAACAAACCTCTAAGCAAATATAGAAACTTGGCACTACCTATATCTGTCTTTTCTCTGTAGCAAGGCCAAGTAATAATGAAAGAAACTAGGCAAGGGAAACAGCCTACCCTGCCCCAGAAAAGGCAAAGCAAGGAAAAGCTTAATTGATGATTTTTTAGTAAGTGCTACTTGTTTCCCTAACACCACACCCTGGCTCTGTGAGACTGTCACCATATAAAACAAACCTTTTTTGTTCACTTAATATTTATTATAGAGACTGCTGGCTTTTTGTCAGTCCCACCCTGAAGTACTTTCAAAGCTAAGTGCAGACATTGAAGTGGCACAGAATATCCTTTACCTTGGACATCCTCCCTTAAGGGTCAATGGATATATAATTGAAAGGGCTGTTTTTAAAAATTACCTCCCTCACTGGTCCTGCAATGTTTGTACATAGGATGATGGGATTTTTCATGTGCAATTGCTTGTAAGTACAGATTTTTTTTTTCTATCCTCACTGTGCCATTTCTGTGCAGTGAGGGAGTTACTAACTCTGGGTGAAAGGCTGTCAATAGGAAGGCAAGCAAATCTATCACGCCTCTGGATACAAAGTCTTGAGAAAAGTGGAGGCTCAGAAGTGTCCTCTTAGACTGCACTTGCCTGTCCCACCACAATTCCCCTGGGGAGGGAGAAGTGAACACTACTGGCATGACTTTCCTTACCATAGTCTGAAAGTGGCAGGAAATACAAATCCTTCCCAGACCCTGAAGCATGAACCAAAGAACAGGAGTGTCCTCTGAAGGATGAAAAGTGCTGGGTGGAATTCAAATTGGTAAGGTCAGGGTCCAGGACTTTGGACAGCTTTGGGTTTGACATAAACCAGACTTAAAGCAGAAGCCAAGGACATCAATTGCTTTAATGTACATTAAGGAGACTTGGCAACTGATGTGTCCCATAAACCACAGCCTGCTTTGCCTGTAATGGTTGGGAGTTGGAAGGAGAGTGAGTGGACTGTCTGCAAAGAAGCGCATTTCTCCTGCTCTTACCCTGTGTGAGAGAAGCATGGGTGGGAGGAAGAGTACTTTGGCTTTCCAGTGGCTTTCCAAGGAAAGACAAAATTGCAGAGCTTTGTTTGGTGTCTAGCTTGCCTCTTATCAGCGAGTCAGATTGCTGCCTGACAGACGGAACAACTCCCTAAAGGGATCTGTGGTTTTGCACAAGTTGAAGGACATTACAGAGTGGTGTTGCAAGCCAAGAGGCAGGGCACTAGTGGAGGCAGTAGACCTCCAGTGCCTGCTCAGCAATGGCAATGCCTCAAAGGTCCAAGGCTAAGGTTTGTGCTTTTTCAGAATGCTGTTTGAAGCATTTTATATATTGCTGCGATTTTTTTTTTGTTCGTGGCAGAATACACGCCTATTCTGTAGGCAGGATTAAAGTTTTCTTGTAGTCCTACAGCTCAGATATGCCAGACGTTTTTGTGTGAGCTGCTTAACACTCATCAACACAGATGAAAGCTGTGTCAGTCTACTGTAAGCATAAAAGACTAAATTTGATCAATCAAAAAAAATTCCATAACAACTACGGGAATTAACAATCTTTCTGTCTTTCTCTTCATATCACATACAGGTCATACCACAGAATTCTCTTGAATCTCAGGAGTAACCAGCTCTCCCAGGTCAGAAGGAGGATTTACAGGGAATTGCTGAGAAAAAGCATTTTGAAAAAGAAAGCTGTGTTTGCTTTTCAGGCAAGCTAGAGAATGTAATTTCCATCTATTCAGCTGTGCTGGTTTGGACTTTTTCCTCATTCCTATTTGTTATCAGGGGAAAACCTGATGGAATTGTATCTAGCTACCAAAACTACATCTGTGCATACCATCTGTATAATCTCTAGAATATTTGAAGGCTATCCCCATCAGCCAAGAATGCAAAATATGATTCAGAAATGATAGCAAGTTTTAATTTCTCATTATTAATTTCTCCTTCATTTTAGGTAAAAGGATGCCTTTTCTGCATCTGTGAACACATTTTCATGAAGTAGAATATTCCAAAGAGGTTACTTTGTAGCCCTCCTTTCCACTCTTCCCCAAGGGAAGAGTGCATCTGCATCTTGTCTGCATCTTTTCATCTTACTAGTTTATATTCTTTTTAATTTTTTGTTCAGGTTACAGATGCTGGATATCTCCCTAGCACCATTAAGCATTACAAATATGTCTTCAGTTACAAAGAGGAGGAAGATCAGAAAAAAAAAGCACTGACTGAATGCAGAAAAAACCAGAATATTGAAATTTTTGCTCCTTTGTGTTTTTAAAAGCTTAACTGCAGACCCATGGGAAAGGTAAGTTCAAGCTATTGCTTACTCTAATTCTTTCCACAGAATGAGAAACCTTGCCTCATTTCCCTCACTCAGTTATGAGTTAGATCACATTTTATGTGGTACTACTCAATCTTATGAGTAGTACTAAGTTTTGGAAACAGCTACATAGGCTGAGGAAACACATGATATAAGTTCGTATTTGTTTCACTAAATTTTTCTTTTGTTTCAGAAAATTTTAATTTGTGAACTTTTCCAACCATTTTCAGGTGCTGTTTGGTGTATCAAACTTGCTTTTGGTGGTTTGGCAGCAAATAATTCTCTGCAATCTTGACTCCTAAAGGTAGTGTCAGACAGAGTGACAGCAAACAGGATGCTGTCTGATGGGAAGGGTGATGGCAGGGAGGCAAGTTTCTAAAAGGACCAGCTATGTTTCCTTAGGAAAACATGGCCTGTGGTGGGCACAAGGACTGGTCAGTGACTTCTCTTTGTAGTTGACCTACAATATTGGGTAGGAGAAGAAACCATCCCTCCTGAGGTTTTTTGTGTGGCATGTTACTGGCTGTGTCTACTGTCTCACATCTTTCCCATGGTTCCTGCTCATCATTTTTCTTGCTCCAGTGTGTGTCTTTGCCTCTTCCCAGCCCCAGTCATGTTTCTCCCCATCATCTGCATCCCAGTGTGATCTTTGTCTTGTCCAGCTGTTGGCGCTTGCAACGAAAGAAGTCTCAACTCCTTTCTCCAACCTGGCCCTTAGCATATGGCTCATGTGCCAACCACGCTTCCTAAACCAGTAATTTGGAATAAAGCCAATATGTGACCTAATTTCATGCTCAGTCTTTGGGACTGTGATCACTGCCTCCCATGCCTTCTTGGACCAGAAATCAAACTGTTTTTGCAACTCAGAATTTTCAGAAAGTTTAATGTAGAAGTGATGAATTTAGTCATTAAAATCACAGTTTTTGACAAAGGAGTAGGATGAGCTATGGGAAACCCATAAATAAGTATTTTTTCTTCACAAGAAACTTTAACATTTTATGATAACT